ATTTTTTTTTTTTTTTTTTTTTTTTTTTTTGCTATATTTTTTTGAATGATAATAATTTTTTCATTGTTTTTTTTTTGTTTTATAAATTTTTTTTTTTTTTTTCGCCTAATTCGAAAATATGTTTGTATTATATTTAGTAATTTTTATAGTTAATATCAAAAATTAAAGTTAAAATTTTTTTTAATTACTATATAAAGCAAAAGTACAATGAATAGAGCATTATTTTATTTAAGTAATCATGAAGATAATATATATAGTGTAAAATTTTTTGATGAAAATAATCTTTTATCTAGTTGTAATTGTGGGCTTGTTACATTATGGGATTTATGTAAAATAAAAAGCATAATAAATTTTAAAGTATCTAATTATAGTGCTTTATATTCTAATTTTTTTAATAATGACAAATTTTTTGTAAAAACGAAAGAAGGATCATTAAAAATATGGGATATGAATTATGATAAATGTGTTACAAAATTAAACACGAACAATTTTACTTTTGCTAAACCTTATTCATTAAATAATCAATTAGTTACTCCTATAAATCATAATGGGGATATAGCAATTTGTGATATAAATATTAAACAAAACACATCATTTAATAAAGATGCATTTATTAATGATGAATTCTACAATTTTAACAATATACCTTTAAGTAATAGATCTGAAGTTAATGATAATAATACATTTAATAAATCAGATAATAATACATTTAATAAATCAGATAATAACCCATTTAATAAATCAGATAATAACTCATTTAATAAATCAGATAATAACACATTTAATAAATCAGATAATAAAATTTATAACAATTTCAATGATTATATATTAACTCCTGGAAAAACAAATACATTTAATAAACTCGTTATTTCATTTAAAGAGATAAAAAAAAAAATAAAGAATATAGAAATATTAAGTAACAAAGAAGACAAAGATTATGAAAAGTTTCTGAATAATAATTTAAATATGTTTAATGAAATAATAGATATATACCCTTTAAAATATTTTGGTGAAACTTTTATACTGGTTTGTTATGAGCCTTCTTTATTTTGTATATATGATTATAGAATGACTAACAATTTGATTTCAAGTTTTATGTTAGATATGAATAAAAATGTTCTTAGCTTTAATATAAATAATAACAATTGTATAATTAGTACAAATAATAACTTTATGTATTATTTATCTTTTGATAAAAATCAGAAAATTCAATTAAAAAAAGTAGTATGTAATGAATACAATAATAATCAAGTAGTAATAAGACCAGATGATCAAATATTTCTTTCTATTTCAAATAATTCAACTATTAACATATATGAATTAAATAAAATAAAATTAATAGATCATATTTCATCTTATAAATTTAATCATTTCAATTTTCTTGATTTTCATAATTTATCTGGTTTTTTTGCAGCAGCAGAAAACTCTAAGATTTCTATTTGGAGTAATTATGCTAATAATTTTAATTCAATTAAAAATAACTAAAATAAATTAATAAAATATATATGAAAAAATTATTTGAATGAAATTAAAAAAAAAAAAAAAGTTCAATAAAATGAAGACAAATTTTAATAAAGTGTGAATTATAATTTACAAATGCAAATATCTTTTATAAAATGCATTAATAAAAATAAATATATTTTTTTAAAAAAAATTGTGTACATAGATAAAAGGAAATTTCTTTATTTTTGTAATTATCTTTCTTAATATAAAAATGATTAAATAAATTATTAAAAACATCAAATTTCAAAGTTTAAAATCATTTATTAAAAAGAAATTTATTACAGTCTATTTAATAATATAAACAAAATTAAAAACATATAAAATATTTAAAAAAAATTAAAAGCACATAATAAAATAAAAAAAAAAAAAAATTAATATTTAGATTTTTTTTTTTTTTAAAACTTAGGAAAAAAAAAAAAAAAAAAAAAAAAAAA